ATGTACAAATCAAGATGAATATTCTCTGCAATTGTAGTCAATGCTGTAGCAGAACTGCAAGAGAAAATCTCAGCAAAAAAGTTACAATGAAATACATCCAGCTATAAGGCAAGTAATAAAGCTGTTTCTACTTATAAAGGTCATAATCTTTTATGTAGAAATTGAACTAATTTACCGAAAACTATTTGGAACTAGTTTTAAATATCAATTAGATTAATAGGAAAGCTCAACAATCAGGCAGTGCCTTTAAAAATTATGAAAAGTTATTAAGTATTCATGAATAATATAAAAGCAATATAAGAAATCACTCTTAAAATTATGAAGCATTACTGAAAGAGATTAAAGACTTACATAAATGGAAACTGCTCATGTTTATGAATCAAAAGGTTAAACATTGTAAAATTTGTAATACTGCCTAAATTAAACTTTTAATTCAGTTCACTCTATCGCAATACATGCTCTGCTTTTTTGTTTTTTTGTTTTTTTTTTTTCAGTTATTGAACTATGGAGCATAAAATTCTCATAAAGTATGTGTGGGGTCCAGAGTAATTAGAAGAAGCTAAAATTACAGTAATGAACTTTTAAATTCCACACTTCTCCATTTGAAATTTAACCCAGTGTTACAGTAATGAAGATTATGTAATGTTGCCATTAATACAGGTGTACAGATTAATGGAGTATAACCACACCTAGAATTTAACTTACTTCTATGTAGAATTAGATTGCTGTAAGGGTTTCTTCACAATTCAATGGATATAAATTTTTATTCAGCAAATGATAGAAGTATAAGTAGAGAGATAGGTGTAACTAATATGTAAGCTTTTCTCAAAAACACCAAAAACAGTTCAAGCTGAAGCCTAGAACTAAGTCTAAAAGCTAAAGCCTGAAAGATACTGTGAAAAAGGCAAAAGGTAAATTATCACAATATTTAATTTAGTGATCCTTCTTAGATAAGATGCCAAAAATTGAGTTATTGTACAAAATAGTAAACTGAATTTTAAAAAATGTTTTAAAACTGTACTGTAACCCCCTCTCTAATAATAGTAGCTATTGCCATCACTCTTGGCTGCCCACCGGAACTTGATGGTAAGACTCTATTGTTGGAGAAAACACACATTTTGATCCAAGAACATGGAGAAATAGTCAACACTGACCAGAAAGACCTATTCCTACAGACCAGCTTTCATAGTATCAGGATGTACTGTGTCGGTGGCTTGTGGAGTAGAGTTAGGGTTTCTATTGCTACGCTAAACATCATGAGCAAGTCTTCTTTCACTTTGCAGCTTATACGTCCATAATCTAGAGAAGTCAGGGCAGGAAGTTGGAGCAAGAAGTCAGCATAGGAACTTGGAGACATGAACTGAAATTGAGGCCATGGAGGAAAGCTACTCACAGGCTATGCTCTTTTGGCTTGCTCAGTCTCTGCATTTTTATAGCTCCCAGGACAACTGGCCCACGGGTTATATCACCCACACTGAACCTACCCTTCCAAATCAATTGTCAATGAAGAAAATGTATGCTAGGTTTGCCTAAACCCAAATCAGGTGATGGCATTTTCTCAGTTGAGTTTCCCACTTCCCATATGACTCTAGCTTGTGTCAAGTAAAACTAGCTAGCACAGGGAGAAAGCCATCAATAATCTTACCTAGCTGTGAACTGGAATAATAACTGGCATGGAAACCTGTCTACAAGTGCCATGGTTGAAGGAAGGTAATAGGGAAACCACCTACTTTCTAGTGGGTTTATGGGTTGTTTCCCAAGAGAAAACACTTTCCTGGTGTATAAAACACATTGTTGGGAACCTCACGGACCCAGCAGGAAACCATATTATTATTTTTTCTAAGTAGACAAAATATCAAACTGCCATATAAATTCTGAACTTTGTACCCATCAGAGACATTTCCTTGTGTAGCAGGAGGTGGTTAACGCAGAAACTCGTGATTGTTTAAAGTGTAGGGAATGTGTCCCTGCACAGTGCTCGGGCCCAGAGGGAACATCTGGATAACGACCTGCTCCCATGCTCAGGGATCATCATGGAAGAGGTGGACAAACAGTGTTCCTAGGCATGACAAGACTGATGCAGAAAGGTTCTGAGAGCCAGAGGGAATGGAGAACACCGAGGAAAGAAGGTATTCCAGACACAGCAGGACTGAAGGCCGTGTGAACTCAGAGAGTATGGCAGCATGCATAGGGCCTGCACAAATTAAAGTTAGGCAGGATCCCAGCTCTGAAAGGGAGGAGTAGATGATAAAAGCTGCCATTCCAAACCAAGAAGCCATCTCTAATTGACAATTGCTTGCAAAAGAAAAAATCAGTTTTCTCCAATTTAATCTCACTGGGTATATAAACCACACTTAAGGGTAGGCCTCATACTGCACAGTAGATGAGCAACACAACATGAACTCTGATTTTTTTTTTTTGCCTCATATTGCTCTTTATGAACATTAAAAAAAAACAAAACAAAACAAAAAAAAAAAAACCAAAAAAAACAACCTTACTGGTCTAGTACTTGAATACTGTGGTTTAGAATTGCATCTTTTTATGGCTTTTGTTTTTCTGGTGAGTGTGTGTGTGTGTGTGTGTGTGTGTGTGTGTGTGTGTGTGTGTGTTTCTTGTATTTTTTAATTGTTTTTTTTAACTCTGTTTTTGTTTTCTAAAGAGATAGAAAGAAGGTATGGTATTTGATGAGTGAAGTGGGGAGGATCTAGGAGGAGATGGGAGAGGGGGAACCACAATAAAAATATATTGTATAAATTTTCAATTAAAAAAAAAAACCAGGAATTTGAGAAAGGGACTTACAGGGAGGAGAGAATAATAGGATGAGAGGAATATTAGAGAGTAATATTAGAAGATAAGTAAGAATGCCATATTACATGAGTGATACAACTGCGGGAATAATCATAATTTCTTTATGATACAAGATCATGCATTTCATAAAGTTGCTTTCACCAACATGAAGCAGAAAACATTGATGATGAAGTCACATAAGAGTACCAAAGAACTGAAAGACCCTACCGACTTGAAATGTCCTAGCGACCACAGTGTCATAACCCCATGTTCCACGTCTTCATTGTAACTCTGGTGTGAAGAGCCTGCTGCACTGGGGGTCATGTACCAGCATCGCACATGCAAAATGCATAAAGTGTATGATTGTTGATGATGAGCATGAATGGCTAAGCTACTGGTTTCTCAGTTTACTATGGACTATGCAATACCGTGCTTTCACTCCTTCTGTTTACAAGTAGATTAAACTGTAACCCAACAAGCCATGCTATTCCAGCACTAGCTTCATTTGCTCTGTGCTTTGATGTCCCTGATTGCATCAAGAACTGCTGGAAGGTGCTTTATGTTATATCCAATAATCTGTGGCTGTTCAAGTTTACCATGAAGAAATTGCCGGCGCATTTCTTGGAAAATGTCTGTGGTTTAGAAGCTCTGGGTACTGTTCTGTTCCATTCAAAAAGTCTCATGGTGAGATACATTGCCAAAACATGAATTTCATGAATTTCAAATAAAATCTTTGATTGTCTAATTTACTAAATATTTTTTAAAAGGGAGTCTGCTTTCATCTCTATTTAAACATGACACACACGAATGTGTAAATATAATTCATTTCATGCTTTAAAAACTCTGAAAGTCTACATAATTTTGTGCATACTTTATTTTCTATAATTGTTCCCAAGAAAGCCACCATCCTTGATGTGCTCCTTGATTCACTGAGTTGAATCAAACAGTCACATCTGCTCTGCAGCTGACTTCAAGTCCTTGGCTTTGATTCCACCAGATCAGAGAGAGACCTCTGCCAGTTTTGCCAGCATCTGACTTGGCTGCCCAGATACTGCAGCCAACAAAGATCACTTACAGTTGGGAGGAACAACACAGACTGTGAGTCATCCACAGACTTATTCTCTTTTATAATCAGTTTTACATATGAAAAAAATTCCATTACTCATAAAAAAGAATCTGTGATGACATTGTGCTTTATTATACTAATTTTACAGAAACAAGAACACACAATTTAGGAGGAAAAATAAAGCCCAGAGTCAATGATATAATATAATGCTCAAAACTTTCCTATTAGTTAGATTTAGCACAGAGGATGTTCTTGGTGTGAAGCAAGCTTTTTTACAGAGGTGTACAACATTTTATATCATTTTTAGGTAGTACATTTGCAGCACTCAACTATGAAAAACAAATTCCTCACCTTTGACTATCTTCTATTGTTTCTCTGAGGAGACCATGCAGAGGTAAAGAAGAGCAATTGTTTTAAATCATAACATCTGTGCCTGTGAAAGTTTATCATGAAGAAATTGCTGACACATTTCTTGGGAAATGTCTATGATTGGACTCCATGAGAAAACTTACAGAGTCAACTAACCTGGGCCCATGGGGGCTCACAGAGACTAAGCCACCAACCAATGAGCATGGATGGGCTGGGCATACACATTTTCTGCACATATGTAGCAGATGTGCAGCTTGGTCATCATGTGAGTCCCCAAGCAATGGGAGTAGTTACTATCTCTGACACTTTCTTGCTTTTGGATCCCATTTCCCTAGTTGGGCTGCCTTGTCTGGCCTAGGTGGGAGAGGAAGCTGTTAGTCCTGCTGAGACTTGATGTGCCAGGGGGTGTTGGTACCTATGGGGAACCTCCCTTCTTGGAGAAAAAAAGGGGGGTGGGAGAAGCAGGGCATGAGAATGGGACTGGGAGGAGAGGAGAAAGGGATCACAATCAAGCTGTAAAGTGAGCAAAGAAATCAATTAATGAAAAAACCCTCAGGGTACTACTGTTCTGTTTCATTCAGTTTCATGGTCAGACACATTGCCAGAATTTCATGTTTCGCATTTTTAAAAGAAGCAGAAATTCAGTATTTCAATAAGAATTTTCTGACCTTCCCTTGCTGGTATGATTGTAACTTTATAGTTGCTCCCTAGAAGGGGGCAGGTCTTCCAGGAAGTTTGACTGCAGCTGCTTTCAGTTTCTTTAAGCTACTGTAAGAGGCACAAGGAGCAGTTGCAGCAGGGACTTGTGGCTGCAGGGACTTGGTGCTTGCTCTGTGTTCTGTCTGGGAAGAATCCTACTGCTGCTTCTAAAGGGTAAGAGCCTATTCCATCCAATACCACAAGGTGTTGTGACTTTAAGTGTAAAGCTGTAGGGTCTGCGGTGGGGTGGAAAAGCATCCAGGTGTGTGAGCCCCAGAGAGTTTTTCTAGGTTGATGGTACTTAAAGGATCTCAATTTCTGTTCATGTCTCCCTTCCTCCCTCTCATCCTCCCTCCACCTCCTCCTTTTTCTCCTTTTTACCCCCTTCTTTTTCTCTGACCTACCTTTTCTTCTTACTCTTCCTCCAACTCACAAACATGTTTCTTGTTTGTCTTGTTTTTGCTTTTGCTTTTGCTTCTGGGTTTCAGGTAAGTTTGACCTATGGAAGTGCAGCATTAACTCTCCATTCACCCTGATACATCGCTGCCCATTTACCCTTCCTCTTACACATCTGAGTAATAGAAGTTGTGCCTTTTGTAAATACCTGGCACTGTAGGTCTTGGATGGAGAAAATATCTATTTTTATTCGAGGTTTTTCACTCCACAGTCCCTTTCGCTGGCTTGAAGCACAGATTCTTCCTCTCCCTGCAGCAACAGTAAACAACAGGGTGTGGTCAGCTGACTCACCCAGCTCTGTGCCTACAGTCCAGCTGGTTTTGTCCTGACTGTTGGATCCCTAGCTGCATGTAGTTTAAGGCTGTAACTTTGGTCACCTCAAGAGCCAGACTTCAGGGCTTTTGAACACTTGCCACAACTGACTGAGGATGAGTCAGGGAAAGGGTTGAGACACCTAGTGAGGGCAATTTGTTCTGAGGTTGGAATCAGGAATAGTTTATTGTAGTTGATGCCTCTCTTGTCTCTCAGCCTCCCACAGTGGCCACTGCCAGCCTGAAATCTCTGCTGCCAGACACTGTAGATCCTTCATCTCTGTTACTCATCTGCATCTCCCACTCTGAACTTCTTGCTGGAGTTGGTAGGAATTCTTTCCCCACATCCTAGGCTCCTCAGCCTATTGCCAAGCAATCTTTTCCCCTGTGCTTACTGTCCTCATCCTCCTCCTTGCTTAGCTAATTCCTCTGTGTTGCTGGCCAGATCAGAGCCACTTAATGCTGTCAGACACTTCCAATTGCTCAAGTAACAGGTTGTAGAGCATGGCCCATTTTTTGATAGATTTGTATGACTAATGTAAGTTGTATAGGAAACACCACTGATATCAGAGGGATGGTCTCCAGTGAGACTAAGGAGGTATCCCTTGCCTTCAGTATAGTCTAGGATAGATGTGGAACTCGGGATATTGTACAAGCAGCCAAGTCCTGTTGCACTCCAGTCTGAGGGTGTTTTAAATTACCAATATGATCAGCTGGAAGGACATAGAAATGAAACATAGAGTTCCTTCTATGGAACTTCAAAGGAACATAGAGTTCTTTCCCCAAAGCTGAAGGAACTCTAGCCCACTCAAAACATGTGGCTCTGGCAGGACTTACCCTTTTCCCTAGTTCCCTCTACCATTCTAAAATTTGTTAGATTATATTCCTAAAGTTAGCTCCCAAGGTTTATTTATTCCCTTGTTTGGCAAATTTCTCCTCCTGAGGCTGACAGCCAAGGTCTGGCTATCAAATTATATAAGTTCAATAATCAAAAGCCCCCTTGGCTCACCTAATTAACATGCCCCATTAAAATTAAACACCTCATCCTAACACGGACTTTACCCTTTTACCTTTTTAAATCATCATTTTCTTATGTGCCCCATCTGCCTCCTCTCTATCCAGAAAAAGTCCTTTGTCCCTCTGTGGGACAAATATCCTTTACCCCTCCCCCTTACCTCTTCTCTCCCCTCTCCCTTGTTAACTTTCCATTCTCCCTCTTCCTCTATCTCCTGTCCTTGTCCCTTATCCCACTATCCCTTTGGTACAAATGAATCTCCTTTGTCTTTGGTCTTGGAGTGTCTTGAGCTGACTTTGAGGTCCCCTACAGAAGTCTTAGACATCCTTGATTGGCATTGCTCATAAATGGGAAGCTGATCTTTCAAGAGAGCTTTCCAGTGTGTATACCTGAAAGAGAAGCCTGGACTTCTTAGGAGACTGCAGCTCATCACTGGACAAGCATGTTGTGTGTTCTGAGTTATTCTTTTTCAACTACTTAGGATGCATTTCCAACAAAAACCACCCTTTTGGTGTTGGGCACTGAGGTCACATACAGTGACAACAGGAAGAGGCGAGCTAGCATGTGGTCAGGTTTAGAAAGGCCCAGAACAGCTTCCAGTGTTATCAAGCCCATCATTGCAATTAGACCAATCTCTAGATTCTGTGGATAAAATAGTCATATAAACCATAACCTGGAAAAATCACACTATCTCTTTGTCATCGTAGCAGACACAGTATTTACCATAAAATCATGATCAATTCATGAAATATAACTAGGAAAGTTTGTTTTAAAAGAAAGAAAAATATTCTACACATAATCTCTTTATACCTGAGAATGTCTTTTCAAATACACAGTTTTTAATTTATCCCTTAAAAATTGTACAGATGTGTACGGTATGTATTGTTTATGTCTCCCCTGATTATCACCATCCAATTCCTCTGCTCTACGACAGGTCCCTCTCCCAACAACATATCCTTTTATTTTTTTTCCTTAACTTATTGAATCCAGTAGTGCTGCTTGTATATGTAGGTGCAAGGCTCTCAGTTGGAGTATAGGCATCCTACCAAGGACCAAGGCCCTGAAGAGAAATGACTGTCACACTCCAAGCAGCTATCAACTACAAAACTCCTCAGGTCAGGATTGGAGTGTATGTGCCCCTTCCTGATCTGTGCTGAAATATTGACCATCTTGAGCGGGCATATCTTTGGGCATGTTTTGTGCAGGTAACAATACCTGCTCTGAGTTCATGAGTATAGTAGCCCTGTCATGGACAGAAAACATTGACTTATAATAGTCCTCCCTGATCTCTTTTCTCTCTCCCCTATGTTCTTGGAACATTTGTTTCAGTGTGATAGATGTTCTAGGGGTATGGGGGGGGAGCAGACAGGATGATACAGATCATCATTTAGGACTAGCACTCCACAGTCTCTTATTTCTTCTCTGCATTTGGACCAGTAGTGGCTCACATGACAATATCTTTAATATAAATATCAAGAGCAAAACAGTAGGTAGTTTAAGTACTAAGTCCTAAATAAAGTGACTAAGAGGAGTCTGATACAGGATGTCAATTGAATTACAGTGGTATTCATGTGGAAACTTAGGAATGGGGACTAAAGAGAGACTGCATCATTAAAAGCTCGGTCTTTTTTTCTGGAGGATCAGAGTGCAAGTCCCAGGTCCTACATGGCAGCTCATTACCATTGTAACTTTAGTTCCAGGGGAATCGACATCTTCTTCTGGCCTCTGCTATGTACAATGTTATGTGTAAGAGTGTCTGCCTGATACACCCAGGCAGACACTCTTACACATAACATAAAAATAAAATATTAAAAATTGAAAAAATGATCTGAAAATAGAATTAATCCCATTAAAAATAATAACAGTGTCAACAGGAACAACACTGGCACCCAACCTCACTGACATATATCTCCTTTGGGCCAAACTTTAGTCTTGGAAATTTCCTACACATACATATTTCTCTCATTCTGTGTGGAGAATGGTGATATTGAATGAGCTTAAATGTTCGAGTTAGTCTTTTGAAAACTTTTATTTACATTTCTCTTTTTCTCCCTATTCTACCCCAATCCCTTCCAATACCCCAACACCAGGTAGGAGAGAATTTGTGGGGAAAGGGGCACAGTTCTTTCTTAGCTGCTTTCTGTTGAAAGACCCCAGCCTCACCCTAAGTTAAACATAGCTAATGCCATTTTGTGAGACACCACTGTTTTGTAAAACTCTGAAGGCCAGATGAGAAACTGGAAAATTGCTGAGAAATCTTAGCTGTGTCACCCACTTGGGATATCTATGGTCAGGCTGCCCCAGTCATACTAAAAACAGTTTGTGTTAATCACTCTCATAGATATCTGTGAGACTGTTTCAGCTAAGATAGAGAAAAACAAAATAACAGGTGGCGGGCCACATCAAGGGGTCATCCTACCCCCCTTGACCACCCAGTTCCTGGAATCTTGGTGCCCCTGCCAAACTTTGACGCAAACTGTGGTCTCGTGTAAACGTACCAATCAGCCCCCTATAACCATGCCCTCTCGCTTCTGTATCAGTGCTTCTGCCCTAAAACCCTATAAAAACCCCAGCTTCCTACCCAGGGGCCGCGGAAGTCTTCCGAAAGACTTATCGCCCCGGGTATCCGTGTATCAAAATAAAAGCCTCTTGCTGTTTGCATCCGAATGGCCTCGTTGATCCTTGGGAGGGGGTCTCTCTGACGGAAGATACCCTCCGGGGATCTTTCATTGTGGCTAAGGTTGGTGGGTTCCTTGGAGCCAATCCATTCCTCATTTCAGGAGATCTCCATCTTCCTGTCTCACAACAGCAACTGGAAGCAGCAAGGAGGAAACAGGAGCAACAATATTCTTTCTCTCTCCCACACTCTCTAGACTCTGGCATTTATTCTCTCTCCAGAGTCCTCAGGTGTAAACTATCTGTAGCTGGCAAAGAACTCCTCCCAGAGCCCTCATGAGGCAAATAGTTTGCTGCTGTGGACCATCTGAATCAGTACAACTGTTAGGCCCAGCAGGAGCCTAACTGCTGGAGAGGAAACTGAAGGAAACTTTTGGAGACCTTATTGATGCAAATGCAAGAGGTTTATTCAAGCCATTGCATGATGTGGTTGCCATCCAAACCACATCATGCAAAGAGACAAAAGGGTTTTAAAGGAAAAGCACAGGAAGTGCGGGGGGAGGGGCAGGAGTGTGCAGTCCTGGCCACTTAGGATTGGGTAATGGGCTATAGGGCGGTTGACTTTTTAAATGATTGGGTGGTTTTACGCTCTCAGGCCTTATCAGTCCTGTCCTGAATGTCTGGGGAATATCTGATCTTTAAGTCATGCTGGGAATTTCCTGCTACATGTGAAGTTGGCCACAGACAATGTTATCTTGCAGGCATAGGTCTGGTCATTTTTCTTTACTGGGTGGAGGTTTTTGCTTGCTCACTTCCTTATCTCTGTCCATGCAGATGACCAGAGTCAGGGGTGGTTACATTCCTTTGTTTTCTGGAAAAATACTGAGAGGCTTCAACTTGACACAGGCCTATAACTCAAAAATATAGGTTTTAAGGCAATTAAAAGAAATATAGGTTACAGAGTTAGTCTGGTTCTTTCACCACATTGCACAGCTGGGACCAAAACAAAACCAACAACATTTTATTTTCCCCTTTTCTGCTAAAAATACAAACAAGCAAACAAACAAAAACCTTTTCTTTTAATCTAAATGAAACTTGCTGTTGCTTTCTTAAAAGGAGATAATCAAGGAATCAAACCCTTTTGGATCAATAATTACTTTTATAACCCGAAGAGTTTCTGCTGCTCTTGTCTGGATTGACAAATACTTTTGTTGTTGAGCCTCTAGCTAGGTTCCTAACAGGCAAGCCAGAAGTGATCCAGACATTCTTGCAGAGAACTCGGTGTTGCCAGAAAGGGCTCATTTGCTTCTCTGACAGAACCTACTGTATTTCAGAGTTAACACACCAGCCATTTTAAGCTCTGAGATATCTGAAACTTTTGGTGGCTCCTGGGAAAGCTAAAGGTGTTAATCTCTTAACCTGAGACTGCTCCTCTGGCAGCTCAGTTTGGTTAAGATTAACCTGTTTTCTTGAAACAGGCTTTTTGCCTTTAGCCAGAAGGCCTGCACAGCCTTCTGCTCCTCCCAGCTCCCTTGCCTGTTCAGAGGATATGGGAACTTGACACCAAAAATGGTCAGAACTGGGCTGGGCTGCAATTGTGGAGAATTCTGGCCCTTAGTTACCAGATATTCTCCCTTTACCAATGAGATATAAATATATGTATATATATATATATATATATATATATATATATATATATATATATTGCTTTCCAGACATTTCAGCCTCTACCTGCTAATTTTCTAGTTACATTGTCAACTCTGCAGTGAAACCAAACCAGAGAATCTCCTCTGGGAGTAAAGCAGGAGTGAAACCAGCGGTAGCAGCTGCAATGAGCCTTATGCTCCTATCCTGAAATGGTGTATCCTCTCCGTACCCTCTTGTCTCCTCTATAACATTACTCATTATTTTAAGCTACTCTTGCAAAAAAAATAAGCACATAAACTGCTGATATTGATAATTTAACCCCTACCATGGACCTATTAATGATGTGTCATTTCCACAGAAACGTGCAGTCACCATGGAGCATCACTGCGGTTTAATCACAGGCAAGAAGGAGATGGGTAAGCCTGGCTTACAACTCTTAGTGATGGGATCTTTGTTCCCAGCACAACTCTGTATCTATGAGTGTCACCCTAGTAAAGTTTGCTGATTTCCTAAACACTGATCTTTTCCCCAGTGCCACTGAAGAGCATCTCTGTAACCCTGTCCGTCAATGACTTTGTGGTTGATGTGTCTGCAACCTTAAATTATGAGAATGAAGAGAAAGCCCCAATAGAGGCACTCTTTGTCTTCCCCATGGATGAAGACTCTGCTGTCTACAGCTTTGAAGCTTTGGTGGATGGGAAGAAAATTGTGGCAGAATTGCAGGACAAGGCGAAGGTCTGAGGGATTAGTACATTATCTCTTCTTTTAAATTACATTCTACTTTAATCTTTATAAACAATTCATAAGTGCAGATAATGACTTTTCCTTCTTTCATTCACTTTTATTTCCTACATGCCTAAAAGCAATAAGTCAGAGGGAATCAAGTGGCAGCTATCAGAATAATTATAAATTTCACAGAATCCATAACACTCCCTCTGAACAGTACATACTTTCTTGACTCCCTGTGATTTTATTTCAATCTGCCCTAACCTTGATCTAGGCACATAGCAACTATGAGGAAGCCCTCTCTCAGGGCTATGAAGCTTACTTATTGGAAGAGGATGACTACTCCAGAGATGTCTTTTCTTGCAATGTGGGGAACCTCCAGCCTGGAGCTAAGGTGGCAGTTACCCTGAGGTATGTGCAGGAACTTCCCCTGGAAACAGATGGGGCCCTGCGCTACTTGCTCCCGGCAATCTTGAATCCGAGATACCAGCTCTCAGGTAAGTAATTTTGGCCTTTGAAAACCAGTGATCGAATGATTGGGGAAATAAACAAAATTATGGTTTTGCTAGAAGTTGTTAATATACTTTTTGTAGAACAGTCAGCGAACAGTTGCCTGAATGTAAAGAGCCCCGTAGCTCCTTTGAAGGACCTGCCCTACACCCTCAGCATGGTTGCCACCATCACTTCCCAGCATGGCATTGAGAAGGTCCAGTCCAACTGCTCCTTGAGTCCTCTTCAGTACCTTGCAGAGGACAATACTTCTGCTCAGGTGACTAGTAAGAGAACACTTATTTTCAGTCTCCTCTGTCTTCGTTGTTGACCAGGTCCTCATTCAACCTGCCCCTATGTCTCTTGTGTTTCTGGCCATGTTTGAAGAGGCACACTATCCAACCTTTCCTATTCTGCATGAAGTATAGACTCTTTTTATGCCAGTCTTTCCTGTATTTGAGGAAGGAGCCTGCAATCCTGAACTCTGACCTTATCTCAAGAAGCAATTGGTGGGAGTTCTAACATAGCTCCTCTGCTGGTCTCTTACTCAGGTTTCCTTGGCTGAAGGACACAAGTTTGACCGAGATGTGGAACTCCTGATTTACTACACTGAGGTGCACAGCCCAAGCGTAGCTGTGGAGATGGGGATGCCAGACATGAAGCCAGGTATTTTCTATCTCCCACTATGGTCCCTTTCTAAGATGTTATGCTCATCATCCTTGATCTTCTATCCTTTATCCAGGATCAATAATTGGCCATTATAACTTTTCACTTCCACATGAAAAATAATTGAGCTTAATACATAATTAAGTGATTATGTCTTATGGGCTAATTTACATGGATTACTAGATAATTAGAGGAAAATTATGACCAAATAATTAATAAGAAAATATGCAGCCCATTATCAACATGTGACAATGACTGATCTTTACAAAAAAAGGCAAATAAATATTCTTGTGACTACTCCTTTTATAGGATCAGAGATGTCCAAATTTGATAAAGCCTCATGCTTTACATGATGTGGTATGTTTTATACTGAGAGATAGTGTTGAAGCAAATAAGTTTGATTCAAATGGTTTTTGAAAGTATTTGGGACGTAAACAGTAAAATAAATGCTTTATTTGGTAATTCTCATATTTATAATATTTTCTTTGAAATAAATCAAAGTAATTCTATGATATGAAGATGATGTTGACTTAATATTATTCAACATTATTAAATGATTAAAATGCAATAGAGTCACAATTTATGTTATCAGTTACATGTTATAATGCCGTCATCAAAATAATGTATCAAATAATGAGAAGGAAATAGAGCTATAATTCCTCTTAGCACTATAAAATCACAGTTTAGAAAACTCACAGTACTATAATCTAGGAAATATGTAAAAGTAACTTTTCTTAGATGAATAATAATGTTTTGTAAATTTTTTGGTGATTAATTTGTCACACCTGCATGCCATCTTGCTGCCAGTTTTCATTTTCATTGTTGTGGTTTGGTTGGGGTTTTTTTTTTTGTTTGTTTGTTTGTGTTGCCTTATGACTAGTAGGAATGGCCAAATTTAACATAGAATTATTTTCAGGTCTCCTATGTCCTGAAGAAGTTGAACTTTAAAACTTTCACTCAAACTTTTTCTTTGTAGCCTACTTGATTTTTTTTCTTACATTAAGCTTAGCTTCCCAGGGAGACTCCTTTCTTATCCACACTTAGTGACTGTTGTTTTGCACATTTCCTTATGAGTGCACTGAACTTTTATTAAAGCTGGTCCAGCACACATTGGTGTTCTGTTCGTTTTGCCTTTTCTGGCCCATTTTGCACTAGCTTGCAGGGGTCATCAGAGAACACAGGAGGGGTGCTGAAACTCTGTCATTTTCATGTTGGATTTATGGAAGCTCCTTGGGGGTCAGCTATTTTCACAGTGTGACATCTAGGTTTGAGCTCTTGCTGCTGTAATTGTAAGCGCTGTGAGGAGTTTTTCATGAAGCTGGTTTTCCATACCCAACCACAACCTATCTCACATTATAGTGTCTGACAAAGGTGACTTAACACTCTACCACAAGTAGGGGCTTTTTGTTCTTCCCTCACTATCTGACCACTTCTCTCTGAGGTCACTCAGAGGAATCCCAGCCTTCCTGGATTTCTTGTAACCGCATGCGCTGTCTTTGTTGTCATTGTTGATTTTCTGACCTCTTTTTGGTTCTTATGAAATATTCTAACTCATATTTGGTCTTCAGTTAGGATCATTGTAATTCACCCTATAGAACCTCATGATTCTGTATCTCATTATGTGATAACTGAGGTCTTAGTTTCTTTCTGTGATGTCTCCTACTCCTATGAAGATTCCTCATGTCTTCTGAGACCAGATTTGCAGGTTATCAAAGGATATAGTTGGTCATATCTTACTCAGTCTTGGTAATTCCGTCCATCTATGATTTCTCATTCCTGCTTTCTAGGGCATGAATTTTGCCAGATGCCTGCCTGTTCTCATGTCCTTCAGAAGCACAAGGGAAGCTTAAGAGGCAGCTTGGCCCACTGAAACCCTTTAATGTGATACCAGCATGAAGCACAACACTGTATGAACTAAGTGATGTGTTAAATTAGAATATAAACTACACAAATTAAAAAGAATAATGTATAAAATTATAATTAACATCTCAGTATGAATTAAACCTTACCCTGAATTCCTTCAGCATATTGTATTGTGTAACCTTACAATAACCCTATAACAGGAATTACTACCCTGATACTTTAGAATAGCAAACTGAGGCTTGGAAGTAGAGGTGATCCTTTATAAAAGATTGAAGCTTTGACTTATGAAAGTGAAATCATTGGAATTAGTTTGAAAGCACTAGTAGACACCATACATGGAGTGCTGCCTGCTGACATGACCTTTTCCCAAGCAGTGTAGACATCCATTCCATGATTCTCATGGGCATGCGTCTGGCTTCCCAAAAGAGTGCTAGCGTCATGATAACCACCTGTCTCCCAGGGTAAGAAGATCTAAGTTACATATTAAAAACCATGCTACTTTTGCATGATGTGCATATCTAAAGATCTGATTCCTGTTCGTGTTTATAGTTTTTTTCACCTAGTTTTCTAGGGTAACTTTTCTGAGTAGCCTGCTCTTGGAATTTGTCATTTCAAGCATTCAGGCCTGTGAGTATCAATTTGCCCTGAATAGCCAGAGTAAGGACTTAATCAATGATCCATGTGATTACTTTTCTATTAATAAGATTTTGGTGAGATTTACCTTCCTTAGGAATTTTAAGCTCATGCTGGACGCTAAGCTATTGTGTCCTATTCAAGTGTTAAGGTGCCAAGAATTTGCACACAATGATACTGCTGTGCTGTTATTGCCTATTCATTCCTACCCTGTTTTCCTTCCTCTCCCCTCTGTTCTACTCCTTTCACTTTTACACTGATAGCTTACTTTTAGTCCTGTGCAAACAGCACAAAAAGTGCAAACATGGGGTTCTAGACTTGATCTTTCTGAGTTCTCTATTGAATTGATAATTGATTCTCGGGGACATTAGAACACCTGAGTTCCCTTGTACCTTACAGGGTTCTTCTCCTTTCTGTACAGATAGTTTGATGGGAGCTCCTTCTGCAATGGTGAGCTTCTACCCAGATATCCCAGAAGTGGAGGCCTCAAGGGCCTGTGGAGAATTTGTATTTCTCGTGGACCGCTCAGGAAGTATGGAATCCCCCATGAGTAACCAAAAAAATTCTCAGCTGCGCATAGAAGCTGCCAAGGTAAAGCCAGACTTGTCACTAGTCAGCAGTGCCTTGTGAGAAGGATTTGGAAGGGTAGGAATAGGAACCACTTGTAGGTCAGTTCTGCATCTGGCAACAGCAAACATGGCCACTCGGTTCTCAACCTTGAAATGCAAGGTCACATAAAATGGTGACATTTCCTACCTTAGGAACTAGACTTGGGTCTGTATGTTTGGTAGAGCTCTCTCTCCTTTCATCTCCTCATCTTCTCTCATCTTCAGGAAACTCTGTTGCTGTTGCTGAAGAGCTTACCTATGGGTTGTTATTTTAACATCTATGGATTTGGATCTACCTATGAAAAATTCTTTCCGTAAGTTTCTGGGAAGACCATGGTCTGTGAAAGAATGTACATTAAAGGAAGATCTGCACTTTTAAAATGATTAATACAGAGTTGACCTAAACACTGGGGTCGTTGGGAGTAATTTTTGTGACAATAGTTTTCTGATGGGAATATCAGAGTGACAATGTACAACTGTCATGTGACTAGACACACTTTTTTCTCTAAGGGAGAGTGTGAAGTACACTCAGGAAACAATGGAGGAGGCCGTGAAAAGAGTGAGGGATCTAGAAGCAGATCTAGGAGGCACTGAAATCTTGACACCACTCTGCAACATTTACAAGGCACCCTCCATTGCTGGCCATCCCTTACAAGTGAGTATTGGAAGCACAGAGAGATCAAAGCAAAACAAACAAACAACAGAAAACAAAACAAAACAAAAATACCCAAAATACTCTGTGTTGCTTGAAAAGAGAAAAACTTTAACAGGCTAAGCTAATTGGGATAGAATGAAATTCTCTAATAACTCAGTTCTGAGCAGTTCTTGCTTATAGAATTGAGTAAATAATATGTTAAGTTATCCACCATATAGCAAAGAGAAGAAAGACCAGATGCAGCTTTCCTCCTTTATTCCAATGGAGGGCAGTTGGTATCACAAAAGGTTCAGATGAAGCAGCATGGGGAGCATGTGAAACTTCTCAGGGGTCTGAAGAGCCTCTGTGCCAGCATGGAGCAAGTGGCAGTGTCCCTTGATGCTTCAGAGACTGGAAACAGTTGTAGTCCGTGAGGGCCAGGGACATTGTCTTCTGATGAGCTCCACTGAGGCTCAATAAATGCATTCTTTCTTTTACAGATTTTTGTCTTCACAGATGGAGAAGTTAGTGACACCTTTAGGGTCATTAGAGAAGTTGAGCTGAACAGCAAGAAACACAGGTATGAAGAGAGTGTGGTTTCTGCTGTACTGACTGGAGCCCAGGCAGCTCCACATATGACTTGTTCCTCATGCTACCAGCGCTTCCTATGCTTGCAAAGGGACACAGTGACTCACAGATTTTTCGGTTAACTAGCCGACCACTTATTCTCAATAAATCTTAAAAATTGTTTTCCACTTAATGTTGATGCCACAAAGTTATTGTTCCTCATTTTTCTAATGCTCTGAAGGATATATTGAATTATATTTTCATTATGAAAAATATTGGCAAGTTAAAATAAAAAGTAAATCAAATATTTGGTATCTCGGTAGATGATCTGCCATTATGTATACTCTGTGTGGCTACCATAAGTCTAGGGCTAGACAGTATCAGTCTTCTCTTGTTTTCTTTCTACCACTCACTACTTTAAACCTAGCTGATGTAAAGTTCTGGATTAAGAGCATTTTTTTCTTGTTTTTGTTTCATATTGAGTTTCATGGTATGTGTCTTCTTCTTCATACATCACTTTTAGTTTTTATTTCACCAGTTTTTTTTAATGTAGACATACTTTGCACGTAGCCACAGTCAAGTTGCATTTGTGTATGTTCTTCATGAAAGAACTCACTATATTTTATATTGATATTCATATGATGGTTTTCTTTTAGCATTGTAGTATTATAGTATTACATGCAACAAGCAATGCACTGGAGATTTAATTTATTTGGGAAGATAGGTGTTAGCTAAAGGCAAATGCTACCATGTATTTACAGGGGATGCTTGAATCCAAGTCTGCAGAAAACAAAGCATAGTCCCATGAGCATACTTACCCACATATATCATTCTTTAAGTAGACAGAGCTGTTCCAATTGCAGTGGGATGGCAAACAGGTTCACAAACTCTCCTCATTTAACCCACACCAAGTTTACAAATGATTACTTGAAGCTTCACTTCCTAACAAAATTGACCTTTCCTGTTCTTCAGTCTTAGCCATTTTTGTGTATGAAACTATAGTGTCTCATTGTTTAAAGTTTTATTTTCCTGGTATTGCTACTTTATATACCTTTTAATATTTAAGTCATTAGAGTGTCCTCTTTCATATACCTTCAATCTCTTTACCATTTCTTTTGTTTTCTCCATTACAATTTTCTTACTGAAATGTATTTCATTTTATTTTGTGTGTGAATATATTGATAATTATTTTCTTACTCCGTAGTTTAGAGTTCACTATCAAAATTGTTTTCTTTGCTTTGTCTTTCAAGATAGTCTTCCCTATATAGTGCTGACTGGTCTGGAGATCCCTTACTAGACCAGGCTAGCCTCTATGGGTCAACCTGCCTGCTTCTGCCTCTAGAGTGCTGGGATTGCAGCTACATGCCACCATCTCTGACTCAAGTAACTGCCATTTCAATTTGTATTCTCTGAAGTTTCTCTTTGTGATTACTTCTTTCTTATGTGCTGTTAAGGTTTTCCTCTATTCAAGCTATGCAGAGTTTTTTTGGTTTCTCTATATTGGTTCTTTGAAAATTTCATAAATACGCATAATGCATTCTGGTTACTATCTCCTCTCCCTTGTTCCTATCTCCATCAGTCTTCTCTTTCCTACTTATTCCTTTCCAAATTTTATGCCCTTTTGCTTTATAGTGTGACCCATTTTGTTTAATCAGTGGCATCTCTATGACTGTTGGATTGGGGCTATTTATCGAATGCTGGTGGGTATACTCGTGGCTATACAACTGAAGGTGTGTGGTGGCTTTGGAAATAGAGTCTTAACATCTCTCTTCCACAGGCAACCATGAGCAATGGCAAGACCAATGGCTTTTTTTTTTTCCCTCAAGGCAGTTATCCTATTCCTGGCACTGGGTTTTTGTTTAGTAATGCATAATTTCAAGGAGGAGCCTTTTCCAGTCATTAGGCTATCTCCCATCCAATTTTAATTAAGAAATCCAGCACAACTGATTGTATATCAGCTCCAGTACAGAGCTCTATTCCAGGATTCAATTAATATTTTATTTTGAGATCGCATGTAATTAAGTCTTCTTAGATAACTTTGAACTAGTTATAGCCCAAATATGATTTGAACTTTCAATCTGCCTGGTTAGGGTCCCCAGAATTGGAGATTGCTTGGCAGTGTCTACAATTTTCTTTAGCGTGTCTAAAATATACTTCAAGTTCATTTTCCCTACAGATATTTGGTAGATCTTGTATTGGTTATTTTCTCACTGAAGTCCAGTGTTTGGTTGTCACAATGAGCACATGTACATATGCTGGTTTGTTCTGAGTCCTCTGTTCCATCCCATTGGCCCATCGGTATAAATATATTCTAGGACTAAACCACATAAATTGATCATCTCTGCTAATTCTTGATTTTCAGATCACTAGAGCATCCATTGTGCTCATTTTCAAAAATTCCTTGATCTTTCCTGCCTTCTTCCTTCCTTCCTGCCTTCCTTCCTTTCTTTCTTCCTTCCCTCATTTGTTTCTCTCACCTCAACCCCCTCTTATCTTGTTCTCTCTGCTGTGAGCCCATGTCTTCCCTACAAGTGTCTTTATTGGAAATTTATTCTTAATTAGACTAATGAGACTCTCTATTATTTTTATTACCTAAGAGAAGTGTGTGTGTGTGTGTGTGTGTGTGTGTGTCTGTGCACACACGCGTGGGCAAACACTAACATGCTGTTCAGACTCCCAGAATATGTGCATTTGCGTAAAAGTTGAACTTCATCCACTTTTTGCCATAGGAGGTGATTTTGTCCTTTATTCTGTGTAGGAATGGTGACTATTGTTACATCTTAGTTCCACCTTGCGTTTTGGGTAAACTCATCTCAGTCTTAATGAATGAGCTCTGTCACATAATGTGACATTTAGTTAACCGTATGGTTTTGGATTTTGAATATTCACTAATGAGAAATGGTCCTGTGAAGTTTAAATTGTATTGTGAGCTTTTGTTATCTATGCACACCTGGCATCACAAAATGAGCTGAAACACTTTCCTATTTCTATTTCTTAAAAAATGTTTGTTTTTTTCTTAAATGTTTATTAGAAATGGCCAATGTGCTAATCAGACGTTGTGGACTTGATAGGGTTTTTGGACTATATGCATTTAAATGGCATCTTTCCCCTGATAGGTTGTACTCTTTGCTTTCAGTTGTTGTCTAGACTGAGAGCTGACATCCTTAATTCAGCTAACATGTAAAGAAATTTAGGTGGTCCACTTTTTACTGAACTCTACTTCTTAGATACTAGTATTTCTACATTGTTCTGTGGAAAATTTTCAGGATACCTCTTTTCAAGGATACCTGCCACTGACAAAACTCAAAACTACAATTTTCTTACTTCTGAAACTGCTGCGTTTTCAACCTACATACTTGTCACGTGCTTCAAATGACAATTGGACAGTATATACAGGCACATTTTACTCTTCTTCTCTCCATTTCCAGGTCTTGGCTCCTAGGTTCATATTCTCTCAGCAGTCATTGGAGCCATTTGTCATGGTAGCTTCTGGCTGCTTTACACAATTCATCAAAACTGCTGTTTTTAGGTCTCTATCTTCAATATTCAATAATATAGTGTAGGTTTTCTGTGAATAGAGATCATAGTTCCTTTTGTCTTAAGCCTTGTATTTGACTCCTTTAATGTCAGAACCTCTTAAGAAGTCATGTATTTCACTTCTGGGTCTTCTGTAGGACAAGTGTCTGAAAATTCCACTATTGACCAAATTGAAAATGCTAAAACCATAGTGATTGCCTTATAGGTTATTGACAGGGAATAAAACAATATAAATTTTGGTCCTCATGCTTATGTACTGAAAACATAAATTCTAAGATTTGGGGATGATGACTCATATTAACAAAAAGTCCACAGATGCCGAATGTATCAGCGAAGATGTCAGTCCATTTACTTGTCACTTTTATATTTTCATAGTTTACTAGAGGAATTTTGGAGATAGAATGTTGCTAGATAGCTGCTGCCCCATCTGCTCTGTAGTGAGGATAGAATTTAAGACAGATAATGCGAATTCTCTGAACCCTGGATCTCTATCAGCAAAATGAAACTGAGTCTTTCCTTATAGAAGACTTGTGATATTGTTTCACTTATTAAGGTTCTTATTACAGCCCATAAAAATAAAGTACAATTTGTAAATGATAGCACTGTACTGACTTGGCAGTAACTACAGTATTGCTTCATGTGGTTTTTTTTAACTTTTATTAATTACACTTTATTCATTTTGTATCCCCCCATAAGCCTCTCCCTCCTCCCCTCCCGGACCCACTCTCCCCCCTTTCTGCATGCATGCCCCTCCCCAAGTCCACTGATAGGGGAGGTCCTCCTCTCCTTCTTTTGATCAGCCCGTGTTAGTTGATAATTCTGCTATGGAGAAACTGTCTCTAACATTCATCATTTTACTGTTGCAGATGTTTCTCATTTGGCATTGGGGAAGGAGCCTCCACCAGTTTAATCAAAGGCATTGCCCGGGTATCAGGAGGCACTGCAGAATTTATCACAGGCAAGGACAGGATGCAAGCCAAGGTGAGAGCAGGCAAAATGCCCAGAGTTGGATAATCCAGAGTGAGCATGAGACAGGACAAGGAAACTTCTGCAAAGGCAGATGACCTCCTCTCCTGGAGGGCGCATTTTCATGAGTGCTAGACAATACATCTAGAGGTCTTCTTGTTAGTTTGTTAAAAATTTTTCATTCTCATATATGAAGACTGACATCTGAGCATAGTATCTGTGACTCCAGAGAGGAGACAATTAAAGCAGGTGCAACATTTGTTTTGAAGACCAGAGAAAAAGAAAGTGAAAGATTTGGCTGCTCTGTCTGGGACTACAGTCTGTACTCTGAGTAAATCTAGTAGGAATCCATTCTTCATGCAGAAGACACAAACAAACAAACAAACAAAAAACAAGCAAGCGTGTGTGCATGTGTGTGTGTGTGTGTATGTGTGTGATAGACTCAAAGACATGCTAAGTTCACATTCCTTTATTAGTATACAGAAATGGAAGATATCTCTGATTATCTTTCTAAGCTTCTCTTTCCATGTTGTCAGTATCCCTTTGCTAACTCATTTTTGCAGGGGCCTCTGTTCTTACAGATTGCCTTCATATATATCTATACTTTTATATATCTCCTGTGAAGCTTCACCAAACACATAAGTAGAGAAAAATTAGCATTTCTCACTTAGCACATGAATTATGCCCCTGGTCCTGATAAATACTCCATCGATACCATCAATTATTATCATTCTTATGTATAATTATGTTTCTTCTCTCCTCCAACAGGCTCTGGGGACTCTGAAGTTTGCTCTACAGCATGGAGTGGATGACATATCTCTGAGCTGGGATTTGCCTCCTCGTCTATATGCTAACATGCTTTCTCCAGAGCAGACTGTCATCTTTAAGGGTCAGAGGTTAATTATCTATGCCCAGCTGGCTGGGATTATGCCCGTGAGTCACTATTCTTGTATTCTTGTATTTTTGTTTTTTAGTTTGTTTGTTTGTTTGTTTTCTCATTGGAACCTGTATCAGAAGTTTCGTTAACAGTGATAATTGTTTGGGATTTCAACAAGATATGGTACTTGCCAGGCAGCCAGCCTTCATGTCTATACTATCTTGTACTACCTGATTCTCAATCTTACATTTTGTTGAGCTGAGGAGGTTCCCTAGTGCTCACCATTTTCCTGGTTATATGTCAGTTTTGTCAGTCCTACTTTTCTCTTACATGTAGCAAGGGGAAAGCTCAGGAGCAGTGTGCCTCAAATACTCCCTTCAGGGCAAGGCTCTTGAAAACAGGGTGACATTTTCCCTACAACCCAAGGCAAATGCCAGGTAAGAATTCAACTTTTCTTCTCTTTCTCCACACTTTCACACTCCTCCCTTCCTTTTCCTCTCCTCCTCTTTTCTCCCCTCCTTTTCTGTTCCTTGCTCCTTTCACCCCCCCTTCTTTTTTCTCTGTCATTCTTGATGGTTCAGTCATCCTGTCATTGACCTCTGCTGTTTCCTCTAACCTCTTCTCTTCTGAATCATTCTTTTGAACTCTTTGTCTCTGCATTCCCTTCTATCTATAATTACTAGCTTTTACGAGTCTTGGGTAATTGATTTGCAGTTATTTTTCTTTAATTTTCTGCAATTTTTTTTCCAGCTTCACCATTCATCGGTTGGCTGCAAAGTCCTTGATTCAGAACAAAGACTTGGGCTCCAATGAGACCTCAGAAGAGGCAAAAGAGGATGTGAAGAACATCAGCATTCAGTCTGGAGTTCTTAGCTCCTTCACAGCTTTCATCGCCATAAACAAGGAGCTGAATCAGCCAGTACAGGGGCCTCTGTCTCATAGAGTGATTCCAAGGCCAATGACTTACGGATCTTATGATGCGTGTTTAAGTAAGTCTTATAAGTGTCATTCCAATTCAAACTTATGTATACTGAGTTTCAAATATCCAAGTACATCATTTAAATAAAGGGAAGCTTCAGAATTTCATAAATTTAAACTAAAATAAGTTTCTTAAATTTCTTGTATTTTTCTCATCCTTCTACACCAAAGATTTATGGCTTGCCTTAAATTTTCTAAAGAAATAGATTATGTCCAACTGGGAGAGAGATTTTATATAGAAGTACAAAAGAACACAAGGGACATATCACAATGTAGACATATCTATAAACATTGAATATTGAAGCCATTTAATTCAAATCTGATTTCTGTTCTTGAAAATGGCCACACATTGGGCAAATGACTGGATTGAATCTGTTAAGTCTGAAAGAGCTACAGGGGAATTAGTAGGAATAAAAAATGCCATCATTTTTCTGGGATGGCAGGGGTCCAGTGGCATTTGGTGCCTTTTTGCAGTAGGTACAAACATTATTCAGATGCCTGGGTTATGTGAATCATTTGCAGTAGAGGTCAGCAACTTTAACTTAAGAATGAAATGGGTTGAGGACTGAATTGATTTCTAATGTACGGTTTTGCCATATAGTTCTGATTATCAGAAATTATGGCTGTAAATTAAAGATACTATTAAGGGTGGTAATTGGCTTAATTGAGTGTTTTTGTCTTTTTTTTAGTAATTACAGTTTATTCACTTTGTATCCCTGCTGTAACCCCCTCCCTCATGCCCTCCCAATCCTGCCCTCCCTCCCTCTGCTTCTTCCATGCCCCTCCCCCAGGTCATTGATAGGGGAGGTCATCCCTCCCCTTCCATCTGACCCTTGTCTATCAGGACTGTCTGTATTGTCTTCCTCTGTGGTCTGGTAAGGCTACTTCCCACCCCAATCAGGGGGAGGTGATCAAAGAGCCAGCCACTGAGTTCATGTCAGAGACAGTCCCTGCTCCCATTACTAGGGAACCCACTTGGAGACTGAGCTGCCATGGGCTACATCTGTGCAGAGGTTCTAGGTTATCTCCATGAATGGTCCTTGGTTGGAGTATCAGTCTCAGAAAAGACCCTTGTGCCCAGAATTTTGGTTCTGTTGCTCTCCTTGTGGAGCTCCCGTCCCCTCCAGGTCTTTCTATTTCCTACTTACTTCATAAGATTCCCTGCAATCTGCCTAAAGTTTGGCTATGAGTCTCAGCATCTGCTTTGATACCCTACAGGGCAGAGTCTTTCAGAGTCCCACCTGTGGTAGGCTCCTGTCCTATTGCCTGTTTTAAGTTGAGTGAAAAACAAAATTTGAAGGGATGTGACATATTTGAAAAATTAGTACAATCAAGGACTAAGCAGAAGTCAGGTCAAAGACCCTTTTTGAAATAGGAAACACTAAGTTAAAACACTAGAGATATGGGTCCTGTATTTTAAAAGTAAGACTAAAATACTTCTGAGATACCAAACAATTCTGTGTGATACCAATAACTTGATGGCATGAGAGAGCTGTGTTAGAGCCATCGCCACAGATCTGAGGGCGGCAAGATCTTTGCATTAAGATGTTAGGTAGGCTTTCTATAATGCTGCTGATAATTCTCAAAATTATGAAGAGCTTGGAGTGCACTGATAGCCTGTAGTATGTCTTTTGGGTACTTTGGGTACTGGTAAGAGGTGACTTAAGTAGTTGAACAATGATAGTAGTGAGGAAATGTGGAAGATAACCCAGATGAGAGAGAAAATAATAGTCTTGGACTGAGAAAATTGCCAAGCCTTTCTTTGGAACCTGGATGCTTAAGATAAGGTTGAACTCCTTTTGAAAGGGGCAGTGGTAAAATATCTTTCTAGGACAGAAAACAATATTTCAAGGCAAGGCATAGCTGGAATAATTTTCTTGTATTGAAGGTAAGATGCAGCTATGAATGTTTAGCACATGTGAGAGGTTTCGAAAAACTCAGTAAGAAGTAGAATGAAGGCTCAGAGGGGGAGTGTATGTACCGGAGGAGGCCACACAGGGGAATGGCACATTCTGCTACTTTAAGCCCATTGACTGCCTCTGTTAGTGAATGACACTGATGTGGGTAGAGGGTCAGTGACTCTAATCCTCACACTTTTTGATCTTTGCTTGCACAGAGAATGGAGGGTGCTGCAATCTTCACTCTGCATTTGTGTTTTTCAGTTAGCATGCCATGCACAGGAAAAGCACTACGTTCTAAGCCTCTGGCTTTTAGCCTGAGAAGTAAGTATCCCAGGAAGTCTATGAAGCATTCTTCTATAATCGAAGGGAGTGGGTTTCTGGGAAAAGTTTTCTCAACAATGTTTGTTTTTCACAGATGCTGTATTTGGTGCATCCCTATCTTTGCAAAGCAGCAAAAAGGTGAAAAGGGCGTGTTCTTCCACCAAGAGAAACAGCTTGCAAAGTGACCCCAAAGGTGAAATGGTCCTCAGATTGTGTCTCTGACTTATGTAACCGTAAACTAAACTTTGGTTCTTGTCATCTTGGAGTTTTCTCTACCTAGCAGAAGTCTTATTGGAGGCAGCAGACAGGAGGTGATATTTGACATTTTCATGTATTTGCCAGAATGAGTCTAGCTTTATTAATTTATATTACAGCACCTGATACCTTCTAGCCTACTGTAGTGGAGTGAGCATGTCCTCTGCTACTTTAAGCCCATTGACTGCCTCTGCCTACACAGTCCATCAGGGTGTCATAGGCCTTGCCCTAGCAGACTCTGCAGCCATCTTTCAGAACCCAAACCAACTGCCACCCATCATGGACTAGAAACAGTCTGTGGAGTTACTGCAGAACCCTTATTACAGCCTCCTCTTCAGAAATCTCCCTCAGGTGGACTGTATCCCACTGGCCCCATTAATTTTCCATGGCATCATTCTTTTATATTTCTTTTCACAAAGCTTTTGGAGAGAATGTTGTTGTGCAGCTGATTTCCCTTCAAAAGGCAAATGGCTCCTGGAACCTGGATGAAGATCTGACCAAAATCCTGGGCACTAATTTAGAAGATGCCAAGGTTGCAAACCCTGCCATGGTGAGATGCAAAGTGAAACAAGGGAAAGGGGTATACTTCATGAACTTAGAATATAATTAGAATTGGAATGAACCAGAGCCAGCTGAGAAATAAAACTATAGATAATGCAAAGATGAATGTAATTTATAATATGTAAAAGATTAAATCATTTCCACTTTATCTGGAGCATAAAAATCATGGAAATAATGGCTTAGCTACTGGAAGGCATGGTCAGACTGATGTATATCAAAGAGAAAACTAAACACTATTCTGTGTTAGTCTTATTCACTGAGGCCTCATTGTAAGAGCAGATATTTTTGATCTTCACATTATTCTAGACAGAATTTTAAACACTTAATATTCATGTATTTATTTGATTCTCATTTCCCTTAATTAAAGCAGGTTCTATTTATGTAGCTATATAGATGAAGAAATTGAACATTAAAGGAAAATCAAAATCACCCTGAGATTTCACCTTACACCCATCAGAAAGATCAAAAATTCAAGTGACAACAGATGCTGGAGAGGATGTGGAGAAAAGGGAACCTTTCTCCATTGCTGGTGGGAACATAAACTTGTACAACCATTTTAGAAATCAGTCTGGCGCTTTCTCAGAAAATTAGGAATAGTGCTACCTCAAGATCAAAGTTACTACTCCTGAGCATATATCTAAAAGATGTTCAACAATACAAGGACATTTGTTCAGCTGTGTTCATAGCAGCTTTTTTTATAATAGCCAGATTATGGAAACAACCTAAATGTCCCTCAACAGATGAATGGATACAGAAATTGTGGTACATTTACATAGTGGAATACTACTCAGCAATTGAAAACAAGGAACTCATGAAATTTGCAGGGAAATGGATGGAACTAGAAAAGATCATCCTAAATGAGGGAATATTATCCATATAATATAGGATAAACATACTAAAATCTGTAGTCCTAAAGAAGCTAACCAAGAAGGAGGACCCTAGGGAAGATGCTTAATCTTCATTCAGAAGGGCAAACAGGATGGACGTCAGTAGTGGGAAAAGACAGGAAACAGGACAGGAGCCTACCACAGAGGGCCTCTGAAATATTCTACCCATCAGCGTATCAAAGGAAATGCTGAAACTCATAGTCAAACTTTGGACAGAGTACAGGGAATCTTATGGAAGAAGGGGGAGAGAGAAATTCTTGAGGGTAAAGGAGCTCCACAAGAAGATGAACAGAGCCAAAAAATCTGGGCCCAAGGGGTGCTGGTGAGACTGATGCCCCGACTAAGGACCATACATGGAGAGGACCTAGACCCCCTGCTCATATGGAGCCCATAGAGAGCTCAGTCTCCATGTGGGTTCTCTAGGAAGGGGAGGAGCTGTCTCTGACATGGACCTACTGGCTGGCTCTTTGGTCACCTTTCCCTGGGGCTAGGGGGCAGCCTTGCCAGGCCACAGAAGATGTGATAGGCTAGGCTCAGACTGCAGAGGAGGAGGATCTCTCCTATCAGAGGACTAGGGAAGAACATAGGGGGAGAAGAGGGAGGGAGGGTGGCACTGGGATGAGTTGAGGATTGGGGCTACAGCCAGGGTACAAAGTGAGTAAGTTATAATAAATAATAAATCAATAAAAAAGGGAAAAAAAATGAACACTGTGAGAGCCAGTCAGTGCAAAGCTAGATTCAATACTAGAATGCTCTGTCTTTAGAGCTTCCATTAGTAAACCTATTATTGCTATTTTTATGTTCTTACATAGACTGACTAGAGTACACCTTATTCAGAATTTTAAGTTTACCTTCTGAATTGTCAATAAAAGTCAATAAGTTTGCCTTCTGAATTTTCAATAAAAGTCATATCAAATCATGAAGAAGAAATATAGTTCCAACTTATTAACTTGTGAAACATAATTAAATAAACTTCAGATATTCCATGGTTATACTACTTTTACTCTACCTCCAAGCTATGGCTGGCTACTGAGTCAATGAAATGTAGTGAATGCAAATCAGAGGTAAATTTTTAATTAAATTTTTAGTTTTTATATTAATTATAGTTTATTTACTTTGTATCCCAGCTATAGCCCCCTCCCTCATTACCTCCCAATCCCACCCATCCTCCCTTATCTCCTCCCTGCCCCTCTCTAAATCCACTGATAGGGGAGGTCCTCCTCTCCTTCCATCTGACCCTAGATTTTCAGGTCTCATCAGGACTGCCGAGAGGTAAATTTTTTAATCAGTAGAGGTGTCTATACTGTAATATAGAAACAGACTTAATTATTTAAAGAAAGCCATGGGAATATTTCTTCAAAACTATTTCATAATGATTCCTTGTCAAAATAATAATTCTGTTTTAAAGCTAAAAAATGAGAGCTGCTACTAGTTCAAGAACTACATCACCAAGAGAATTCAACCTCAGCATACATGAGATCATATAATCAGTTCTGTAAAAACATAGTAAAAGTGGAATACATAGCTCATGTTGTTAGCTGAATATCAGGTAGAAGTTTGAAAATTTTAAATAATAAATCATCAGACTGAGTCTATATTAGCTAAAAATAATACTATTGATTAATGAATTGATATCACTAATGGAAACATATATTTGAACCTACTAAGCTCTGGAATTTTACAGGTCTGTATTTTCAGTGATGACCCTATTGAAGAGATACAGGAAAGATTTCTATTAGTAAAAATAGAACTAAAAGAAAAAGTGATGAAAAGGAGACTCAAGGTCCCTTGAGATCTCTGAACCGAATTTGTAAATTTTCATGAGAAGTAGCAGCACTAACAAAAAACTATACAGCTGGAATAAAAGTCAGTAATTGTTTCTGGTCCTTCATCCTCAGATGACATTTGAATAGAGACAGAGAGCTGACTCAAGAGCAGTTGCGCATGGAATCTGCAGGGGTCAGGCAGCCACAGGCAATGTGAGCAGTAGATCTGAACCAAGACCCCTCAGGATGAGCTTCATTCTGCTATGATTATAGATTTTCACATGTCACTTACCCTAAGCTGTGAACCATGTCAATCACTGGCATAATTCCAATATCCACCATTACTACACAATTAATTCTAGATAAATCTTTTCACTTTTGTAGTGTTTATATTTGGAAAGGTGCTATTGATTCTTCCTAATGAAATAGTTAAGCAGTTGAAGATACAAATAAAAAATGTCTGAGCATAATACTTTAAAGAATTCAAACATAACATTTTCTTCTCTTACTGGAGTCTAAGTTTCTATGCACTCAGTGTTTGAGGTATTTTAAGAAATATGATGATGGTTACACCAGACTTATGACTTAAGTCCTTTTCTAAGTGGTAATAGAATATTTTCTTGAAGCTCTGGTTAGTCTTTATGGAAAGGATGGGGCAGGAATTTTCATGTAGCAGCAGACAAGGAAGGAGATAGTAAATCTCTTGGCTTCCTGCCCTGCCTGAAATATCACAGAAGTTTCTGTCTGATTTACAGCATGGGGACCCCTCAGCCTGGGCCACAGTGCTGGCTGTGCTGTGGTTGCATGCCCATGGCAAGGACTTGAAGTGTGAGTGGGAGCTTCTGGAAAGGAAAGCCGTGGCCTGGCTTCATGACCATGCAGGTAGGAGCACAGTCCCCTCCCTCCCTTCTCCTCTTTCCCATCTGTGTCTCAAAGAGCTGGGTCTGTCTAGTGTCTCAAAGAGCGGTGTCTAGTGCAGCAGAGCAATAGAGAGTCCCCATAGCTGCCCCAACCATGCTATCACAAAGTATTGTCTATTCCTTCAGCTAATTCTTTTTTTTTTTTTTTCAGTATTAGGGTGAAATGTGTACTTGTTAGGGACAAGCTGAGCAAACAGGGAAGGAGCATAGATGTGGGTGCTTAGCTGAATAAGACTATCTTTAGACTTGTAGCAAGCACGTCTGCATGGCTATTGTATCCTTGCTACAGTGTTCCTGTGGACAGAAAAGACTAAAGGAGAAGCAGAACAAGGAAGGATGAAGAGCCAGCTGTACTGCAGGTAGCTAAGTCAAGGCCGAAGGGAGATGATAGGAATGAATGAGAAGACTAAGGAACGAGCCTCTTCCCCTGTCCCACAGTCCTCATTCTTGTTTCCCTCCTCACAGGCTCCTCCATCCCCGCACTTGTGCAAGCTGCCAACAGACTCCTGAAATTATCTGTGAATCCTGCTGCCTTTGACATCTGAGGATGTCACCCATGAAAGAAGAGCGTTTCCTGGCTACTACCTACTCCCACACTTCTTGGCTGAGATGGCTTTTGGTTTTTATGTTTAACTTTTTCTTTCTTGTCACTTATACAATGGACTACTACTCAGCTATTAAAAATAGGGCAGCATGAAATTTGCAGTCAAATGGATGGAACTGGAAAATATCATCCTCAGTGAGGTAACCCAGAAGCAGAAAAATACACATGGTATATATATACTCACTTATAAGTGGATATTAGCCTTAAAGTACAAGATAAGCACACAGATCCACATATCCAAGAAGCTAAATAACAAGGAGGGTTCAAGGGAGGATGCTTAACTCTCAGAAGGGGAAATAAAATTCTACAAATGTTCTTGTGACATTTTTAAAATTTTGGTTGTGTCTCAGTCTTCATTTTGGAATATTCTTTTGCCTTAGAAAAAAACCTCAATGTAAAATACTTTCCAAAAGCTCAGGTAATTTTTTTTCACCTTTAACTTTGGATACATATAGATATTTTTTTAAATGATGAGGTGAATGGCATAGCTGAGTCTTAAAAGGCAACCAAATGGAAGGAGAGCATTGGGGATAAACTAAAAACATAATAACTGGTGTTTCCTACTGTGCATATAATCTTGAAGGAACATTTTTCCTACTTTGGAATATCTCTTTACAATAAAACAATCACCCTCGTTTTATGCTTGGTGCATGAATAGAGGTGACAAAGTAATTGCTCCCTCAGAGCTATCCCTGAACTCCAAGCAGGAACTAATAGGACCTTCAAAACGCTTTAAGCCAGTGCTCTGGGGAGAGAGTGTTCTGGTATTAATTGTATAAGCAAATGAGATGTGATTTCTCATAAGTGGAGAAGAAAGCTCCTTCGCCTGGAGCACACTGTTCTGCTCATAAAAAGGAAATTTGATTTCTAGTTTTTGTACTTTGGGAAACAGGGGTCATGTTTTCAGGACCACAGACTGAGTACTCAAACTTCTGCCAATGTCTGCCTCTCACACACTAACAGGTTAACACACATGGAACTTCCTGATCCTTGGGGAATACATTTTCCTGAAATCAATTAGAAAATCTAATGAGGCTATGGAATCACAGAACACAATGAGCATAAACAAAGACCAGAAACTTTGAGAGTCTTTGCTTATCGATGGGAGGGTGTGGAGGGCTCACTGGAATTGAAGCTGTTCAGAAATGAACAGCAGTTGTAAAAAGTTAGTGCTCTCAGCCTTCTCCTCACAATGTTACTGTGTCTTTCTTTACGGTCTAAACTAATATGAAGATATGGAGATAGAATATTTGAGAGGAAGAAAACATATGTCATGTGATTTCTAAAATAAAATAAAATTGTAAATAAAACCAGGGAGATGGCTCCGTGGGAAAAGGTGCCTGCCTGAATCACCTGAATTCAATCCCTGGAATCAACATGGTGGAGAGAAAGAACTGACTCCCTCAAATTGTCCTCCAACCACTACACAGACATCATGGCTAGTGTATGCATGAGCAAACACACACGCACATACTAAATTTAAAAATAAATAGAATGAAAGACTGAGGGAAAATGAGACATGAAGTCTTCCTTCACTTTTATTTAAAGCAGCCATAAGAGCTTTCAGGAATGGATTCATTTTCCAACAGTAAAAGAGGTTTTTTTTTTTCAGGAAGCAGAGACAGAACAAATAATACTAAAGATTACAAGCACAGACATTGAATAAAACAAGCAAAGCAATTTCCTTTATGAATTTGAATATATATATATATATATATATATATATATATATATATATATATATATATATATATATAGCTTTGATTTGGTTTTTGAGACAGGGTTTCTTGTACACTCTTGACTGTCGTGGACTGGCCTTGTAGACCTGGTTGGTCTTTTGGTCTTGAACTCACAGAGATCTTCCTGCCTCTGCTTCCCCAAGTGCTGGAATTAGAGGCATGTACTGTGGAATCTGGTGGATAAATATATTTTTTAAATAATCCATATCTACAAATGACTCCTTGGTACAGAGTGATACTGAATGTCTGTGCAATGGCCATTACTGTCACTGTCATTACTTACGCAATAGTGAGTGGAAAGGCTCTTTGTTTCCTAAGATGTCTGCTCTGCTTTTGACTTACATAACCCCCTCTCTTAATCCTGTTTCTTATCTTTATCCTATGCAAGCCACGGTGTCTTCCCTTTTATCAGAGTAGTGCCTTTTATATGCACTTTGCTTCTACTCCCCTTTGTTGGGAGCCATGCAAGAGCAACAGCAAAACAGCTCTAGAACTCATAGAATGTGGCCCACCAGTTAGCAAAGCCTGATGGGTATGTCTTGGTGTGGCCATGGCCCTAAGAACTATGTGTCCTGAGGACTTCATGCTCTTAATGGAGCATGGCTCTGCTTGTTATCTTTGTGGGCCTTGTAATCTTCCTAATTCACAAACTATATGAAAACTTTAAGGGAACGTCCAGCCCCTCATTGAACGGTATTTCTGGCACTTAAAATTAACAATGCTTAATCTCTTCCAGGCATGGTGGTTGGAGCAGATAATGATTTAACCACCACTCTGAGAAGAACCTGCAGATGTAGACTGTTAGCAATGACTACTACCCTTAGAAAGAATTTGGAAAAATAGATTGTTTAGCAAGGTTAGATAAAGATGTTTTTGCTAGGGGTTCTGATGTAGAAAATCTTTCAGTACAATTTGAAGTTTAGAAAAGTACACTGAATAGTAAAGCCAGGAACATTTTTAAGGTTGGTGAACAGGCACAAATGCCCAAGGTAACATTGGCTGACGTGACACTCTCTATCTGGTCTGGTGACTGAGACAATTGATTTCCTTATACTTGTTTTTGCCCTCAACTTCCTGATATGACTTAATAAAAATTATTGGTGAGCAGATGTGCACCTTAAAGATTTTGTCTCTGATATGAATTAAGTGGCTGGCTGTTTGATCACCTCTCCCTGATGGGGGAACAGCCTTAGCAGGCTACAGAGGAAGACAATGCCGCCAGTCCTGATGAGACCTGATAGGCTAGAGGCAGATGGAAGGGAAGGAGGAGCTCCACTATCAGTGGACTGGAGAAGGGGCATGGGAGGAGCTGAGAGAGGGGGGGTGGGGTTGGAAGGGAATGAGGAAGGGGGCTATAGCTGGGATATGAAGTGAATAAAATGTAATAAATAAAAATAGTTTTACTCACAAAGATTTTAAGTAGAGGTGGTTGTTTTTATATAAAAGGTTAGATCTGTGATTTTAAAAAGATTTTTATAAGATTACTTTTTTAAGATAATTAATTCTTTCTTTGTAACTGCAAACTGTAGCCTGCCAGCAAAGAAAAGCTGTCTGAGAAATTACCGTGCTTGCTCACCTTGTTAATCTATAAACAGGTCATTTAGTTACAAATGTATATGAGTTCTTGGAAATAACTTGGTTTTCATCTTTGTTTTTCACCCACAACACGTAAAACATTTGATCATGTGAACGTCTAGGGGAACGTGTTTTTCTTACGTATACTCATTGTAATCAGTGAAGAAAAATAGACTGTAACCACATTGTGATTTTTGTACTGCTTGAAAGATTTTTGCTGGGATGTATAGGTTGTGGGAAAAGAATAAAAGTATGGTTTAGAACTCTCCAGAGTTTGTTCTGTCCACCAAGATGTATACATATGCATGTATGTAATGTCGTTTGGAACTTGCTCTGTTGAGTTTGTTCCATGCGCCAAGGTGTATGTATGTAGGGTGGTTTGGAACATGCTATTCAGAGTTTGTCCCACCTGCCAAGATGTGTGGTTGTACATGCGTGCAAGGCTGTTGGAATATTTTCCCATCCACCAAGATGCATGCATGTGTATATGTGTTCATGGTCTGGTTGGAGCTTGCTCTCTGGAGTTTGCTTCGTCCACACAATGTGTGCCTGAATGCATGCATGTACATTTGTATGTATGTGTGTATGTATGTATGTGTATGCGTAAGTGTAAAATAAAAGAAGTCTGTAAGAGAAGCTAAATAAAGAAAAGTTAAGTAAAGAAGAAGCTTGTTGAAACCTATCTGCTGGAGTCTATCTTACTTCATCAAGTGTAAGTGTGTGTATGTGTGTGTGTAAGTGTGTGTATGTGTGTGTGCACGCACGTGCACATGTGGTCTTTTCCCCTCCTTTCTTTTCTCTTTTTTAGATGCTTTGCCACTACCAGCTCACTTTTTCTCTTCCTAATCCCACCCACCCTCTCTCTTCTTCCCCTATGCCCCTCCCCTGTTCCACTGATAGAGGAGAACTTCCTCCCTTTCTGTCTGACCTTGGCCTAACAGGTCTCATCAGAGCTGGCTGCATCATCTTTCTTTGTGGTCTGGCATGGCTGCACCTCCTAGGGAGAGGTAATCGTAGAGCCGGCAACTAAGTTCATGTTAGAGACATTCCATGCTCCCCTTACTAGGGAACCCACTTGGAAACTGAACAGCCAATGGGCTTACTTTGAACAGGGGGTCTAGTTCCTTTCCATGCATGGTCCTTGGCTGGAGTATCAGTTTCTGCAGGAACCCCTGGAGGCAGGGTTTACGGCTCTGTTGTTCTCCTAGTGGAGCTCCTGTCCCCTCCAGGTCTTTCTATCTCCCTCTTCTTCCATAAGGTTCCCTGAACTCTGTCCAGAGTTTGGCTATGAATCTCAGTATCTCTTCCGATACCCTGGTGCATAGAGTCTTTCAGAGGCCCCTTTGGAAGGCTCCTGTCCTATTCCCTGTCTTCTACTTCTAATATCTATTCTGTTTGCCCTTCTGAATGAGGAATAAGCATCTTCCCTGGGGTTCTCCTTGTTGTTTAGCTTCTATGCCATGCTATGCTATACTGTGCTATGCTATGCTATGCTATGCTATGCTACGCTACGCTACACTATACTATACATCTAATATTCTATACCATATTTCTAATATCCACTTACAAGCGAGTATATACCAGGTGTGTCTTTCTGGTTCTGGATTACCTCACTCTGGACGATCTTTTCTAGTTCCTACCATTGACTCAAATTTCATGATTTCCTTGTTTTTAATTGCTAAGTAGTATTCTATTGTGTAAATGTACCACAATTTCTGTATCTATTCCTCATTTGAGGGACATCGAAGTTGTTTCCAGGTTCTGGCTATTATGAATGAAGTTGTTATGAACATAGTTGAGCAAACGTTGAGCAAACGCCCTTGTATGTTTGAGCATCTTTTGGATATATGCCCAGGAGTGGTATAGCTGGATCTTGAGGTAGCACTATTCCTAATTTTCTGAGAAAGTGCCAGGTCAATTTCCAAAACCTCAACATAAAACCAAACACACTAAATCTGTTAGAAGGAAAAGTGGGAAAGAGCCTTGACCTCATTGCCACAAGACACAACTTCCTGAAAA